TATGCTACCTAGTTGGTAACTTCAGAGTAGGAGAGGTTTCATATATTCGCCAAAGGATTGAAATCCAGGTTACATGTAATGTATGTTCACATATGACATTTGCAGGTAAAAGATTTATTGAGGTGATAGACTTTGTGAAGAAAGTAGAAGTAGTTCGACGTGATGGGCAAGCCAAGGCTTTGGCTAAGAATCCCAAGAGCACAGGTAACATTCATGGTTCCTACTAAGGTTCAGGTAGACCGACACTTGCAGCACAACCAATTCAGTTGGACATGCCTGCTTCTATATTTGGTTACTCAAAAACTCCACAACAAAATCTTGTGCATTATAATCAAGGATCCGCACCTGTGTTAGGTAAAAGGCCATCTTTCATTGCAGTTGTTACAATTATAGATAACCTGGGCATATGAGGAGGGATTTCCCCCTCCGTGCATGTCTAACCCCGTGCAACAATAGACTAGAGCGGTGGTGCCAACAGGCAGCAGTGGTAATGGTAGAGGACATCCACAATATAGGCGAGGAGGAGATCAATGAGGACATAGAGGGTGGGGAAATAGTAATGCAGGTGGAGAAGTAGTGCATCTAGGAAAGAAAGTTGCCCATCCAGATGACATGGTTTAGTGTTATGCCTTTTCGGGTAAGATCGAGGTTGAGGTGTCTAATTAAGTGATCTGATATACTATTCTTGTCTGTGATCGAATAAATACTATTTTGTTTTATTCGGATTCTAGTTATTCATATGTATCAGTTCAGTTTTCCTTGCGATTTGATATGGTTTGAGATATACTTAATGCCCTCGTCCATGTTTCTACACCAGTTGGAGAGTCAGTTATAGTCACCCATGTATATCATGTTTGCCCTATATTGGTTTTAGGTTTGTAGACTTGGGCTTATTTGGTTATTCTTGATATGACTAACTTTGATATAATCTTAGGCATGACATGGTTGTCCCCCTTATATGTTTTATTTAATTTCAATGATAAGCTTATAACTCTAGGGATCTCGGGTATAGAAAAATTAGAGTGGGAAAGGGTGTACAAGCCTAAGATAGCTAAGGTCATATCTTTCATTCGGGCTAGGAAATTGATGGGGCAGCGGTTTGGAATATTTGGCTCATATTATGGATGTTTATTTTGAGCCTCTCTCCGTGGAGTCTATTTTTGTTCTGCCTGAATTTAAGGAAGTGTTTCCTACCAATTTTTCTTGCATGCCTCCAAATAGCGATATAGATTTCTACATTGATTTGTAAATGACCACTCACTCCATCTTCATTCCTCTTTATTACATGGAT